TAGCATACTGCAGAAACGCTGATGATCACCAGACTGAAGTGCCTTGGTGAATATATCAGCGGTGTTGGCCTGAGTGGCCACGTAACACAGACGAAGCTAACCACGCTACTGTAGCTCTCGAGCCAGGAAGTAACGCAGAGCGATGTGCTTCGTTCTGTGCTCCAGTCTGTGCTCCTCACACAAGCCAATGGCAGCCTTGTTGTCGACGTACAGCACTGGAGGAGAACGAGGCCGCTCTCCCAAGTCGGTCAGCAGGTAGGTGAGCCAGCGTAACTCCTGTGCAGCCATGGCTGTGGCGTAGCTCTCAGCCTCACAACTGAAGCTGAGAACTGAAGACGAGCGAGTAGAACGCCAAGAAACTGAACCAGAGCCAAGACTGAAGGTGTAACCCTGTGACGACCGCTGAGTAGCCTGGTCGTCAACCCAAGAAGCGTCTGAGTGCCCAGTGAGAACAACTGAGCTCCTCCCTCATGCCTGATGTACTGCACAAGTAGCGCAGTACCCTCTTAGCAGCATCCATGTGCACCTTACGGTGGCGACCAGGAGCCACGTAGCGAGCCAGAAGGCCTAGAGGGTACGCGAGGTCAGGACGAGTGCAAGTCATCAGGTACATGAGGCAGCCAACTAGCTCTGGGTAAGGACCACTCGGCTCTACGGACTCGTCCGAAGGTGGAGCTGAGAGCGAGTGACCTGTAGCCAGAGTAGTGGCCTGTGCCGAGAACCAGGTGAAGCCGAAGCGCTGAAGGACCTGCTGCACCATGTGTGACTGAGTCAGTGTGATGGTGCGGCGTGCTCTGTCCCGGGTGATCTGCGAGCCAAGGTAGCTGCGCAGTTCACCCAGGTCTGCGCACGTGTGTCTCTTATGCAGCTCCGACTTCACGTGGGGGAGAGCCTCAGTGTCAGCAGTTGCAAAGACCAAGTCGTCGACGTACACGAGGATGTAGAACGGCGGCAGCGAAGTGTTGGTGCGTAGAAATAGCGATGGGTCAGCAGTGGAAGGCGCGAATCCAAGAGCCGCAAGCGTAGTCCTCAGTGTGTCGTGCCACTCACGTGGCGCCTGGGGGAGACCGTAGACCGGCCGCGGAGGCTCCACAGGGTACCAGGAGGAAACGACCCAGTGAAGCCAGGAGGGCGGCGCAGCCAGATCTCCTTGTGCAGGCTGCCCTGCAAGAAAGCTGTGCTGAAGTCAAGAGATTGAAGCTCGTAGTCACGCTGAGCAGCAACGTGCAGTAGCACCCGAAGAGTGGTCATCTTCGGGGTGGGGGAGAAGGTCTGGAAGAAGTCAACTCCCTCTCGCTGACTGAAGCCTCGAGCAACGTAACGAGCCTTGAAGACAGGCGGAGAACCTGGCGGCCGCTTCACCCTGAAAATCCACATGCCACTGACGATGTTCGCCCGAGGAGGGGGAACCTCGTCGACGTAAGTGCCAGTGGACTTCCAGGATGCCATCTCTGCGTCCATGGCTGTTTGCCACTGAGAGGAGTACTCACCCGCGATCGCCTCAGCGTAAGAGCGCGGGATCGGGATGTCTGGTGCATCCGGGTCTCCCTCAGGTGCAATCAGCATGGACACGAGATGAGGTACAGCAGCAGCAAAGCACTCAAACTCCTCCTGCCTGTCCTCAAGGACGTCTGTGCCAAGAGCACACTCACCCCCGACTGACGGAGGACAGACAGACTCAGACTCAACAACAAGACTTGCATCGTAGTCTAGACGACAGTGAGCAGCAAAGTCGACAAGCTCAGCAACTAAGGCAGACGCAGCAGCAGATTCAAAGGAAGGGTCAGTGACAGCAGTGGCTAGTAGACGCGTGACTGTAGGACTAGCAGCACGAAGAGAGTCAGACTCCGGGTCAGCAAGTGCAGGAAGAGAGGATGCAGGAGGAGACGGCAAAGGGACACGCTGTGGAGCAGTGGAAGGACGAAGCGTCATCTGGTGCGTGCCTGGGACAGCAGGAGGACGCTGACGACCAGTGCGAGCAGCACGAACAGGTGACGTAGGACGAGACGTAGGCGACACAGGACGAGACTCAGGCTCACGACGCTCCGTAAGACCGCCTGTCGGACCAGTTTAGGGAGAAGGACCAGGGAGTGGCGAGGCAGGCTGTAACTGTGACTGCGTCTGGACGGGCGGAGGACACTCTAAGGAGGGAGCAGGACAAGGAGGAGGTTGCAGACCAAGAACCTGCTGAAGGAGCGGAACGAAGTACGGCCGCGGCCGTGGAGTGCCCCCAGAACCAGCAGAGACAGCACCAGAACCCCCAGCAGTAGCTCCAACTCCTGCAGCACCACCAGCGGCTCCAGTAGCGCCAACTCCAGTACCCCCAGTAGCACCAGCTCCAGCCTCACCGTCGGCTCCAGTACCCGCAGGAGGACAAGCGTCAGCACCTCCAGCTCCAGCCCCTGCAGCACCACCAGCCCCAGTAGCACCCCCAGTCCCAGCAGCTGCTCGGAACTGACCCCCGCCTCCCGAACCACCTGCTCCACTGCGGCACAGGCAAGCATCGCATGAACACGCACAACGAGCTGCGAGCATGGCGCAAGACGCAGGGTTTATCGTACACAGGGAGTCAGCGGCCTACTGCCCTATCGAGGAGCAAACCGCCGACTTCACCATGACCGATAGAAGCAGTGGGGCGGTTTACATCTGCGACGTTTCCATCACTGACCCTATCAGCACTAGGGACCCGGAAGCACAGAAGGGCAGGGGATGGGCGGCACGAGAACAGGCCGACAAGAAAATCAAGCATTACGCCAACCGCCCCGAGACGGTTGGCTTCTTCCCCCTAGCGGTCGACACCTACGGCTGTCCTTGCGCCGAGGTACCTGTCTTCCTCAAGCTCCTAGCAGACACAGCTGCTCGGCGACACTTCAATGCCGACTCAAAATCCTACTACGCCGCCAAGTTTCTGCACCAATTCAGGCAACGGTGGTCGGTGGCCTTACAGAGAGCGCAATCCGTGGGACTCCTCCTTAAGTTGGGCGAGGCAGCGGCGGCAGAAAACCCACCTGTGGGAGGCATAGGGCAGGAGCTGCACCTTGGGGATTGCTTCGCGGTAGTTGAGCCATTTCTGGAGCTCTAGAAAGGGCGGTGGCGTGGTAGTTGTGTGACTGGTTGGTCTTGTTTGTTTGTTTGGGTAGCTAGACCTCGCACTCCATATCTTGCATGTCTGTACCTTCCAACACTATCAATATACGGACCATTAGAGAGGGAGAGAGAGAGAGAGAGAGAGAGAGAGAGAGAGAGAGAGAGAGAGAGAGAGGGAGAGAGAGAGAGAATTCCATCCTCTGCCCTCTCCCCTTAGCCCTCTGCCCTCTCCTTGTGAGCTATATAAGAGGCCCCTCTGGGCCCCTTCACCTCATTGTTCGGCTGGTGCTGAAAATTTCGCTCGTTCGAGAGAGCGAGAGAGAGAGAGGATTCCATCCTCTGCCCTCTCCCCTTAGCCTTCTGCCCTCTCCTTGTGAGCTATATAAGAGGCCCCTCTGGGCCCTTTCACCTCATTGTTCGGCTGGTGCTGAAAATTTCGCTCGTTCGAGAGAGCGAGAGAGAGAGAGATAGGGTTATCCTCTGCCCTCTGCCTTTAGCCTCTGCCCTTGGTTTCCTAGCTACTTAAGAGGCTGCTCTAGCCTCCTTTGGTCATTATTCAGTGAGAGCCGGAACAAACGGCTATCACAGACCCCCGCCTCCCGAACCACCTCCTCCGCTGCGGCACGGGCAAGCATCGCATTAACACCCACAATGAGCTGCGGGATGCGTGTATTAGCATGGCGCAGCACGCAGGTTTCATCGTTCACAGCGAGTCGGCTGTTTTCTGCCCCATCGAGGAACAAACCGCGGACTTCACCATGACGGATAGAAGCAGTGGGGCGGTTTACGTGTGTGACGTGACCGTCACTGACCCTATCAGCACGAGGGACCGGGAGGCAGAGAAAGGCAGGGGCTGGGCGGCACGGGAACAAGCTGATAAGAAAATCAAGCACTATGCCAACCGGCCAGAGACAGTGGGTTTTTTCCCACTAGCGGTCGACACTTATGGCTGTCCATGCGCGGAAGTCCCTGTCTTCCTTAAACTACTCGCGGATACTGCGGCTCGGCGGCACTTCAACGCCGACTCAAAATCTTTTTACGCCGCCAAGTTTCTGCACCTATTCCGGCAGCGCTGGTCAGTGGCCCTTCAGAGGGCCCAATTGGTTGGTCTCCTTCTCAAGTTGGGCGAGGCGGCAGCAGTAGAGAACCCGCCCGTAGGAGGTATCGGTCAGGAGCTCCATCCAGGGGACTGTTTTGCGGTGGTTGAGCCCTACCTAGAGCTCTAGGGGAGGAAATGGGTAGGTAGTGACGTTTGTGTTGTGGTTTTTGCTTTGTTCTAGAATCTTAAACACCTGCATGCATGTACTTTGCAACTATATCAATACAAGGACCATTAGAGAGAGAGAGAGAGAGAGAGAGAGAGAGAGAGAGAGAGAGAGAGAGAGAGAGAGAGAGGGAGAGAGAGAGGGTTAGCCTCTGCCCTCTGCCCTTGGCCTCTGCCCTCAGTTTCCTACCTATTTAAGAGGCCGTCCTAGCCTCCTCGGCTCATTATTCAGTTGGCGGCCGGAATTTTTCGCTCGCGTCGGCTGCCGAAGGCGCGGCCTTCGGCCGCGCGTGAGGGGACGGCAAGTGTCAGCACACACAGTTGTTCATAATAGAAGGAACTACAAGCATGTCATTGTCTACGGCAGACTAGACAAGCATAGCAAGCGTAGGGCAATCGGAGCCCGCGTCTACATGCGGTGAGCTCCAAGGGCATGAAGAACGCCCGTCAGGGTGTGCCACAGCTCCCGGACCACAAGCGTGCTTGCGCCGGTCGCCGCGGCTCCAGATCCTGCGCGCAAGTGCCGCCTCAAGCCCCGGACAGCCTTGTCAAGCTGTCCCGCAGCAGCAGCGCCACCCTCTGCGGGCGCAGCCAGCACGGGCGCCAACAGCGCTGCGAGCTGGTCCGCCGCGTCCAAGCATGTCTCACGATGGCGACCACGGAAGGTCTCAGGAGGGATCACGGGGAGGGACGAGTGAGCAAGCACCTGAATCAGCAGCAACGCGTGGAGACTCTCCGCGAGGCGGTGAAGCTAGCCGAGTGTCGCCTCGGGAACACGGGTCGGCGGAGGCTGGAGTGCCTCCGCTAGGAACTAGAGTGGCTCATCAGCAGCAACTTGGAGTGCATACGGAGCCGCCGCCGCGCCACCACCCGCGGCCACAAACTCCACTCCCGCAACGGGCGGAACTAACGGCAGATGGAGACGAGAGCCAGGAGCAGGTGCAGAGACAGCGGGACGTGGATCTGAGGTGGAGGCGCAGCGACAGGCGGTGGACTCACGGGGGGCACAGCCGGAGGAGGAGCCTCGTGGGCTGGCGAGGCGTGCATCGAACTGCTCTGGCTCTGCGCCGCCCTCGACACTTCCCGCTGAAGATCCGCCATCGTCACAGGCGGGCGGTACCCCCCACCCCCGCCGCGAGCGCGGGGACCCCTCCAATCCCCCTGACTTCCGGGTTGAGCAGGCCAGTGTGACTGCTGCTGGTAGCGCCGCGGAGAATCACGCCGGCAACGAGACGACTTGCGCTCCTGGTGGGGCGCGGGGGAATGAGGGCGCGATGGGCGACGGTCAGGTGACGGAGGGCGCGACGGCTGACATGCCGGGGCCATCGGCGTCCCAGCAGGCGCGGACTGACCCGCTCCCGAGGGCGCAACCGACAGACCCGGTCCGCCAGTGGTGGCGGACGCCGCCTTCGGTGATGAAGAAGAGGCCGGAGCAGGCTCGCCGGGGACAGAAGCATGCGGTACAATAGGGGCGCCAGGGACGGGTGCAGGGGGATCAGCGACACCCCCAGCAGGAGCAGATGCCGACGGCTCGAGAGGGAGAGCCTAGGGGCCTGGACCTGCAACCGGAACGGACGGAACAGCAACAAGGGCAGACGGGCCAGCCTCTGGCGCGGCTAGAGGAGCCGCGGATGCATGGGGATGAGTCCTTTCAGAGGTTGTTGTCGCGGGTTTTGGAGCCGGTGGTAGAGGGGGCTTCGTCGCCATGGTCGCCCTTTCGGGCTCAACCGGAGGCTTGGCGGCCGCAGCCGACCAGGCGGCAACGAGCTCTGGCGACGGCTCAGATGCACCGGCAATCACCATCTCTGGAGCAGGGAAGCCGCGGGGCGAGGAGACAAACTGTAAGCGGAACAGGTGGAGGACAGGAGAACGGATATCAGGCTGCGGCACGAACGGCTTTAAATAACGCGGAGGCAACTAATGATGAAGATAAGTCAAACGACCCATCTTATAGGGAGGAAGCCCTTCCCGAGAGCGAGGACGAGGAGACGGAGAAGGAAGGCAGGGCGAGGGAAGGACCGAGGAGAAGGGAAGTGGTAGTAGGGCAGACGGACTCGCAAGACGGGAGTCATCAGCCGTGCGGAGGGCCTGGCAAAACGTGGCAGTCTGCGCCGAGCCGTGCTGGCCCTGGAGTCAACGCTCGTCTGCACACCCAGCCTAGAAATATTGGAAGAGCTGCGCCAAAAGCACCCACCTGGTGCACACGAGGCATTGACATGGCCCGAGCCACAAGGGTCAAAGCTGTCAATCCCCCACCGTGACTTCGCAAAAATTTTGGGATGAAGCGAGAATGGGGTGGGAGCCGGACTGTCAGGGATGACATTCGAGCACCTGCGCGACGTGGCGATCTCCAACGCAATGGTCAGCACCCATCTGCACGCCTTGGTTAACACCATGCTGGGAGGAAAATTGCCAGGCTCGGTCGCAAACCTGCTGACGGCGTCACGACTCATAGCCTTCGCCAAGCCGGGGGGAGGGGCTAGGCCAATCGCGATCGGCGAATGTCTGACAAGGCTGGCAGCCAAGGCTGCCTTGTTAGCCATGGGTGAACCGGTCGGCAATTTTTTTCTGCCACTATAGTACGGGGTGGCAGTGCTCGGTGGAGCAGAGGCAGTAATCCACGCAGCCAGGGCTTTCTTAGATGCCTGCCCGGATAGCTTGGTCCTGAACGCCGACATTTCAAACGCGTTCAACAGCATTTCGCGAGTAGCTATCGCCAACGCGTTACATGAGCCCGCCCTCTCGCCACTACTGCCGCTAGTGAAACTGACGTACAGTAACCCGTTGCAACTGCTACTGGACTCCAACTTCAACAGCGACCCACTGACAAGTGAACGCGGCGTCCGCCAAGGAGACCCACTTAGGCCGCTTCTGTTCGCAGCAGGGATACACGCCACACTTCGCGAAACCCTGACCTGCTCTGCTTGGCGTATGCGGACGACGTCACCTTCTTGGGTGACACAGCTCGCACTGTTGCTGCATTCACACATTTCACGGCCAAGTTGGTGCACCTGGGCCTCGAGCATAACCCGCAGAAGTGTGCAGCCTGGAGCTCAAGCGTTGTCGACACAGCTCGCCTCCCGCCAAGAGTGCCGTTCTCTAAAGACGGCATGCGGTTATTGGGTAGTTTCGTGGGGCCTGATAGCGGCGCAGCTGAGTTCCTAGCAGGACAACTCGCCGAGATGTCAAAACCCCTCCCCCTACTTAAGCGAGCAGACCCCCAGGTAGCAGCACTGCTAATCACGCGGTGCATATCGCGACGAGTAGCTTACGTCACCAAGACGACACCTCTCCACCTCCTCCCCCGAGATAGATGGAGCCGGTGGGGTAGGAATCTGCTCACCATGCTCCTCATATCGTGCGATATCCACGTTCCGACCTGCAGAACCGAACAAACACAGGTTTGGGAACAAGTGTCGTTGCCACCATCGTTAGGAAGCCTGGGCATCACAGATCCCCTAATTGAGGGGATATACGGCTTCAGAGCGAGCTTTACACAGGCGGCGCTCTTTCTCAGCTGTTGATCGCTAGATCAGGATAACGCTCTAACGCTCGCACGAAACCACATGCTACTACCGCGGGTTGACAGCACACCACTACACACTTGGCTGACTGAGTGCAAGGAGGTGCTGCCGTTAGATACGCGGGAGATACTGGAGAAGGAGCGGCTTGAAAGATCTGACATCCGGCTCCAGCACGTGCTAGGACTCAAGGTCCACAGGAGCAGATACGCAAAGCAAGTGCAGGCGACGCGGCGCATGAAGCCGGATCCGCTTGCAGGCCACACGCAGCGGATGTTTTTACTGACTGGCTATAGCACTAGCGACTGGCTCACCGCGATCCCCATTGCTCCCACAAGGCGGATAGGGCCAGTGCACTTTGCCAACGCTGTGCGTTTCCGACTTGGCCTACTGTTTTTCACTCCCAAGAATTGTGACTGCGCGGACCACACGGCTATCACTGACCCTCGCCTCCCGAATCACCTGCTTCGCTGCGGTACGGGCAAGCACCGCACGAACACACACAACGAGCTGCGGGATGCCTGCGTTAGTATAGCGCAGGACGCGGGGTTTATAGTGCACATGGAATCGGCCGCCTACTGCCCTATCGAGGAGCAAACGGCCGACTTCACCATGACCGATAGAAGCAATGGGGCAGTTTACATTTGTGATGTTACCATCACCGACCCTATCAGCACTAGGGACCCGGAAGCACAAAAAGGCAGGGGATGGGCGGCGCGTGAACAAGCCGACAAGAAAATCAAGCATTACGCCAACCGCCCGAAGACGGTCGGCTTCTTCCCACTGGCAGTAGACACCTACGGCTGTCCTTGTGCCGAGGTACCTGTCTTCCTCAAGCTCCTGGCAAACACAGCGGCTCAGCGCCACTTCAACGTCGACTCAAAATCCTACTATGCCGCCAAGTTTCTGCACCAATTCAGGCAAAGGTGGTCGGTGGCCCTTCAGAGGGCCCAATCCGTGGGACTTCTAATTAAGTTGGGTGAGGCAGCAGCAGTAGAGAACCCACCCGTGGGAGAAATCGGGCAGGAGCTGCACCTTGGGGACTGTTTTGCGGTGGTAGAGCCTCTCCTTGAGCTCTAGAGGGGGTGGTGGTTTAGCACTGTGGTCTTGCTTGTTTGCTTTTGATTGTGTTTTGTTGCATGTGTGTACTTCACTGACCTATCAATATATCTAGGGCCCTGGTTCCGAGGAGTCAATATTCTCTCCCCGCAACACCATGTTAAGGCTCCCCCCCCATTGCCGAGCGGGGCACGCGGAAATCGTGAGACGTCACTAACGGGTTCGAGCTTAGTGAGAGATGTGTGTGAATAATGTTATGAGAGTATGTGCAAATGAGAGTGTTGCGGAGCTCACTGAGCTCGAACCCGTAAGAGAAATAATCGTGCTACGAAAGAGCGTGCTTCAGGCAAGAGAGTGTGCTGCAGGCGAGAGAGTGGGTTGGAGGCGAGAGAGTGTGCTGCAGGCGAGAGTGTGTGCTGCAGGTGAGTGTGTGGTGCAAGTACGTTATTGTGCTACTTCTACAATGAAAAAAAACTCAAGATATCAAATGTTTACAACAAACACCCCCTTCCCCACCCTCCCTCCCCCCTCCCTTCCCCTTCTCATTTCTCTGGTGGACCCTGGTCCTGATAGTTTGGAGGGGAAGGAGAAGGGAGGAGGGGAGGATGGGGGTGTTGGGCTGAGAAAAGCCCTTAGGATCTTTTCAAGGCTAAGACCCTGAGTAGGAATGTTGTATTGCGGAAGCGTTCTTAGTAAACTGTTGAACCAGCTTGCACTAGTGTGTGAGAGCAAGAGATTGATTATAGCAAAGTAATACAAGATTTTATATGATTACAAGGAATATAAAAAGATGCAACCAACTGTTTTACTGTTGCTGTTGCGGTTCGATACAGCGACGACTCGAGCAACAGCTCAATACCGAGTCAGTTGTTTGTCCTTGCTGTCGCGCTGCCTTTCGTCAAGTCAAAGGTCGGCGACCATTGACCTTCACGCAACCTCCAGCTGTTACTTTCTGTCAACCTCCTCGGTTGACTCACCATTGCTACGCTGTAATTCGCCTCGTTTGTAGTTACATGTTTCAACACAACAGGAGCATTAATTAATTCTTTCCAACACTCCCCTTAGCATATGGAGTGTCGTCGATGGTGACGTGGCCTTGTCCAGTCAGCAACATACAGTACTCAACTTCTGCTTTCCGAGTTTCTTGGTCAAATAATCAGCTGCCATTTCGGATGTGGGGCAGTAGGACTGCTCGAGTCTCCCCTTCTCGATCTCGTCCTTCATGAAGAAATATCGCAGGGCGATGTGCTTTGTTTGATTCGCGAACCCGTTCTTGTTCGCTATGCGGATTGCTGATTGGTTGTCGCAAAACAGGGAGAAGTTGGGTAACTGAGCCAGCTTCGCTTCTTCTAGTAGTTCGCGGAGGTACAGTCCTTCCTTGGTGGCTGAGCAGAGTGCGATATATTCAGCTTCAGCTGAGGAGAGAGCAATTAGCTCTTGCTTGCTCGACTGCCACGAGATGGGGCCGATAGGCTCGAGTCGGTAGATGTAGCCAGTGAGTGATCGCCTATTGTCAGAGTCGCCGGCGTGGTCAGCATCCACGTAACAGATTAGCCTTGGCGTCGTAGTTCCGGTTTTGTGGTAGGTCAGGCCGATTGTCGGGATGCTGACGAGGTAGTGGAGTGCGCGGTCGAGCTCCGCCATGTGCTTAGCTTCAGGCTTCTTGAGGTAGGTAGTGAGTTGGCTCGCTGAGTACGATCGATACGGTCGGCAGGTAACGGCTGCGAAGAGTAGGCATCCTAGTTTTCGTTGGTAGTCGCGAATGCCGGCGGGTTTGAGCAGAGTGGTGTTTTCTTTGCGACTTCCGTCGGTGTAGCAGTGTGGTGTGGTGATGGCGGTTGGAGTTAGTCCGAAGCGCTTGGCGATGGTGTCGGCGTATTTCGCGGCGC